TAGTGGTAAATAAACATACAACAGAGAAGACTACACAAAGAATCACCTAGCAGAGCAGGATGGAATTAAAACAAAAATATAGACGTGACTTTAGAAAAATCAAAAGAGAAAAAATAAAACTGCTACACTGACAAAAGTATTTTCATGTATATAAAGATATTTGTGATCAACTAGCATACAAATTATCTTCTCTACTGAGAGCTAAACTGAAGCCTGTGAAAGAAAGAATTATAACTGATTACATCATGTTTAAGGAATATGTTAAAACTCAGAGCTATTCTACAACATTCGTGAGATTAAGCAAATTGCACAAATTAGTATGAAACACTCATAATTTCATTTGTCATAAAAGAATGTTATTCAAAATTTGTTAACTGAAATTAAGCATATTTATTTGCATACTGAGAGAGTCAACTAGTGTTATGAAATTCACATGTAGGAAGAATAGTTTCTCCTTTTCATTATCTGATGGTTATTTTTAGCTACACATGACTATGCTAATAATCTCTACCCTACATTCTTAAAAGCAGAATATATACATAACGAGAATTTCATATAAAACAAAGCCAGTCTGCCCACACATTTTTATTATCATGAACAATAATTTCCAGATGAATTTTACTCCACACTTCTCAGTGTTATTTGCTGCTAAGCATTTAGTTGTTAGAGATCACTGGAATCTAATAATAAGAGAAGCATTCAACTAAACCTAAAAAATACCCAGATCGTGGTTTAACTGGTCTTGAATAGTGAATATATCATCATTCAATATTATCAAATCATAGGTAATTACTTATTTACTCACTTATTAAGAATCAACAACGGTTTTTATTGCTATAAAACACATTCAACACATTTTACTGTGATAAAAATGTTGCTTTTTCAGAATGAGATAAAAACCATCCAGAAGCTTCTGATTTGGTTACATTTCTAGAAAAGGGGATCTCAAAGATTTGAAGTTATATACACATATTAAATGAGTCTGAGAATTAACTCTGTACCATAACCAGGAATGGTAGGTAAACTATTAATTCAGAATGTAAAAAAAGAAGTGTAACAAAAATGTTGCTTAGAATCAAAAATCCTACTTAAAAATACAGAGACTATAAAATTGAAGACATCAAATGTGTGCTTATCTGTGGTACTAAAAATGTGTGCTTTAGAAATATTTTCAATCCTGAAAATCTGATGCTTTACAAGTATGAGAGTAGCTGGGAACAAGCTCTCAATATTATAACCTCTCCAATGGCTAAAAGTAATTAGACTGACAACAAACAGAATTCATCTCTAGAGCAGATCTCATTTGTATCAATTTTTTTAAAAGTCCATTTAAGTAAACATCATGCATTTAATGTATAAATTTGATATGAATTTGAAAAATGTCTTAAAATGCATGAGCTTTACATAGGAAGTTATGGAGAGTAGTATACAACTTAAGACTAACGTAAAATAAGAACATACATTAAAGTGCAATAGGAAAATTTAGTGATAAAACATCAAAAACTCTGGCATTTAAAACAAACTTTTTATTTTTAAAGGTCAAAAATTAACGTACCAGAAAAATACACATATCATTTGAAGCAGTTACACTCATTCTTGTTACACTATTCCATGCATAGTTCTGTAAATCTATGAAGTTCTAACTATGTAATGGAGTGGTAACTTAAAAACAGTATCAGTTCCTCTCAGGGATTTAAGATTAACTCAGCTATGCATTAACTAAGTGCTTATTTCCTTTTGTGTTTGCTAAATTGTACAATTTGGATTGAAAGCATCCAGGACCTTATGAGCAGATATTGAAAAAGGAACGTCCCTCACAAGAGAAGGATCAGAAGATGATTGTTTCTGTGGCTATTAACATCTGAAGCTGAAAGTTTCAGGCCATTGTAATATAAAGGCATGAAACTGAACTGAGCTATCAGGAATTAAGATATTCAATAGCACCTGAGGACACACATATTTTTAACCTTGTATCAGGTGCTCCTTTTACACTGAGGTTCAAGCTAAGGCATCTTTACTTCACAGCATGAGGATATATAAGCAGTGATGACAGTGCAGACAATATGCTATAAATTAATTTGTGTGGCACATCCTACAGCCTGAGAACTTCACTGGATCTCTTTGACAGAGACAAATAGTCAAGAAAAATCATAAGGAAATTATTTGTGTATTACGCTAAGAATTTTGGTAATTAAGGGAAACTAATTATAAATCAATTTGTCAAAACAATTTCTATATTCTTAGATATTCTCTATGGTAATCTCATGAATGGCTTTGCATTGTCTCGCATAATGTAAGCTGAGAGATAACGAAAGAAGATATCTTTGATAGACTTAGTTATTAAAACTGGAAAAAAAGTTTGTAGGCAAGAACACCACAATCGGTCTTCATCAATACCTGTCAAAAGTAGCTCAAATTAGCATAGCTTTCTACATCCCTTGGTAATGGTATCAATAGATGTTATAGAAAATGTTGAAGTATGCAGCTATCAAAACTCAAATTTCAAATTTGAGCAGTTTAATTCACATAAATTAAATGCAAAGTAAAAAAAAAAAATTCTTGCTCACCATAAAAGAACTTTTTAATAAGCTTAACTGGCACCATCACTTCTCCTCATTAGAACAGGACAATTTTTTTTCAGTATTAGAAAATGAACAGAATAAGATAGCATCTAATATAGTTTATTCATCTCTTGCCAAATGTTTTCAGTAGAGAAGCTGAAAAATATAATGATTTTAATTAATCTGATGTTTGTACGTGATGAGCACGTACTCTTTCTCATTGAAGCCGATAGGAGTTACTAAAGCTGGGCAGCTTTGAACAGAAGCACAGTTCCCATACTTACAGATTTTGGTAGGTAACTCTAAGCTACCTGCATTTCAAAACATTGGTCTCTGGGAATCTACATCTCTCTAGTGACAGCACACCTACAATTCCAAAACTTAAATCCTTACAAACTGACATACACACGATAAATAGACTTATTTTGGTTTTATGTAGTGCTGGGGAAGCACGTGATGCTAAGCAATAAAAAAAAATGTGCTAATCCCCTACCACAAATTCTACCCCAAAGAGCTGAAAGGGCACAAGCTGTAAAGCACGGGAAATGCAAAACACAACACAACACAGACAGAATGACAAGTGGTTGGTATTACTGAAATGCGTTACAAAATAGGTGGATTTTCTGGAGCTTTTCGAAGGAGGATAGCGAAGGATCTTTACGTACGTTAATTGGGAGGCTGTTCCATGTGTAGGAGGCAGCGTGGAAAAAGACACAAAGTTGGGAGTGAGCAAAAGAGACAAAAGGGGAATTAAGAGCGATGCTTGGGAAGTGCTGACGGTAAAGGAAATGAGGATCAAGGTTAAGCCAGAATCAAGAGTGCCTTGAACATGGCCAACTTTATGCAAGGGAGGAAAATATTCCTGGCAAAGGTTTAAGAAGTGAGGAAACATGGGTAACTATATAGGAAAGGAGAAATGATTTGTGTAGCATGTCCCATTAAAAAAAAAAACAAAACAAACATGAGAAAGTAAGGAAGTGGGAGATCAGTTCACACCAAATACCTTGTTGTAACAAACATTTCAGCCTTAAATAATAGAAAATAATTAACTTCACTGAGATTTTATCCAATACCCAGCCAGATGTGAGGAGTGGTAAGAACAAGCTGCAGTGATTCTTCATCTAAATCTCTTAAATCATGTGAAAAATCATTATGTAGTGTAAAAACCACACATCCAAAATAAAATCAAATGGAAAAGGCTAGAAAAGGGGTGTTTAAGACATGGAAATAAATGTAGCAGTAAAATGTGTTTGTTGTGATTTTTCTATAAAATGGGTAAACTCATTTGATGCACAAATAAATTCTGTCATACAGAGGTTTAGCTGATGCATTCCTCTTTATCATCACTGCCACCAGTTACAAGAAATACAAAGCTCTCAGTTTACACTGAACATTGATGAAGAAAACTTTTAAAATACAGAAGTGCTAGTCCATAAGAGAAATAAAATTAAATATTTTTTAAGCTTATGAAAGTGAATGAAACACCATGAGTTTACTTGTTCTGAGCCAGAAGTGTCTTTTTGCATGGTCTAAGTTTACTTTCCTTCCAACTACAATTTTGTGTCATTTACAAGTACATATTCATCAGCTCAAGATCTAAGTACAAAAAAACTGAGCAATTTGTCACTAACATTAGTAACAGCAACTTCTATATTACTGAAGCCTTAAAAAGTAATATTGGAATTAATATTAACACTTCCTCTCCTTGCCAATATTTTCAAAGGAATTATAAACATATTGATTATTCTTAGTGTTTGATATCTTTTGGGTTTAAACACAAATCCAGGTTCACGGAACTCACATCTTCTTAACAGATGTGGGGCTTGAATATTTGCATCTGAGTTCAACTCAAGATGTCATTTATGTCATCCTCTCCAACAGATTAAATCAAATCATACTATATTTTGCTGGAAACTTAAAAACAGACATCTAAGTCTCTATGCCTCTTTCATGTAGTGATAGTTCATCAGTAGACCCAATTAGCTTACTCTTTTCTATTTTCTTTCCACTCATACTGTCCCAAATTCTCTGTTTAGAATATAGATGATTGGATGTTGGTGACTTGCACTATATCTCAGTTAGAGAACTCTGTAAAACGGTCCCTCTCTTTTTTTTTTCATTTGTGCATGTGCAAGATGGTAGAAAAAAATATTAAATAGATTTCCAAACTCAGTTTTAGAAGATCTCAACTCAGAAATGCTTTCTTTAACTCCAATTAAAGCTTGTAGGAAAATCCTTTTCACTTCAAAATGCAGTCTGACTTTGAAAAATTCTACATAGTCTTTTGCACGTTTTAAAGTGTAAAAATAACAGGATGTTAGTTACACCCTTCATTACAGAGCAAGAAATTTATGCATCTCTGCCTATAGAATGGTATGTCACACACAAGTCAGTTTGAACAAGCTCTTATTACAAACACACAGGGAAATCTGTACTTACCCACAAATCATGCTCAGCATAATCAAACAGCAGCCAAACCTTTCTGTCACTGTGAGAAAGGAAAACTTTCTGCAATGCAATCACGTTTGGGTGCTTCAACTCTCGTAAAAGCTGCAGAGAAACAGAGAAGTTCTTGTTACTTCCGTGCTTGTACAACGCAAACACACCAACAAAACCACCAAACAGGTCAAATAGCAAACAAGTGATCCTTAAACAGGCCCTAGAAGAAAAGATGATTCAGGACATTATCTTAAAAATATCTTAATAAGGACATGGGTAGCCTCCACGTCATGGGTTGCTGTTCTGCCAGCACAGCTGCCTGTCACTACCTACTTTCTCTGTCCCACACTCAGCACACAGCTGCCCATCCCACCTATCCATCCCACTTGCCAACAGTGTCTATCTTAAAAGATGTTATCACAGAATCAACTCTGTTGGAAAAGACCTCTCAGATAGTCGGTCCAACCTATTGACCAAACACCACCATGTCAACTCAACCATGGCACTAAATGCCACGTCCAGTCTTTCCTTAAACACCTCTGGGACAGTGACTCTACCACCTTCCTGAGGAGCCCATTCCAAAGCCCAATCCTTTTTATCAATAATGGCACACAAACAAAACTTTTTTCTTGTCAAAGATGAACATCAGGATTTAAGGATGCCAGGAGGAAGCTTGTGCAGCTGGTCCAATTCTTTGTGTGGACAACACAGTTCTTGATCACCACATATTTATTTTATTACCAATAATTCTCTTTTGCTTTGGATCCCTGCCTCACTTGGTTCGAAAATCATGGGCTGTTGTTCTCAGAACTAAGGGTGTTTTCAAAGAAACGTTTACCAAAATGTTTTTTCTAATGGTTGCTTCAACTACTGTCCCGTAATCCAGAAATAAACCCAAGCTTATTTACTGCTTGCCAGAAAGAAAACTAGGTCTCATGACTAATTAGACAGCACATTAAAGCAGGCACCGCTGCTGAAGTTATCCTTCTGCCAGATTAAATTAGTCTCAGGAGGTGCTGGGAAGCAGTACTCCCAAAAATATAATTTCCATGGAATCAGTTTTCCTCCCCTCCCCCTTTCCACACATCAGTCACAAGAATGACTGATAATTTCTGTTTTATCTGGAAATTGCTTGCATCTGCAGCATTAGTATATACATTGCCAAGAATCAATTTATAATGGCAAAATAGTAAATGGAGTAGGTTCCAAGGCCCATTCAAGAGAAATGAATCTTCCTTTTTTTCACCTTACAGTAAAAGACTCGAGATGTTTATTTTAGGGGAAATAAAAAAATTTAATTTTAAATTATATTATCCTTTGGCTCTACAGGTATCTGTCAAGACAAGAAATCTTCTAAAGAATATAGCTGCTTAAATCTATTCCTGTTTTTCAGCAAATGAAAGAAAGATCTTTTCTACCATGCAGGAAGCGTTTTCTTCTTGTTGTCTCTTTCCTTCTTTCTCTAAACCTGAGCTTTCCTTTCTCCAGGCTAAACAACCCCAGATCCTTCAGCCTCTCCTCATAAGATTTGCTCTTTGTTACGTTCTGGCTGTCAAGACTGGGTGCCACAGCAGCTGGGCCTTCAGCAGGAGCCAGACCAAGGAAATGTTGGCTCCAGAAGTTCAACACAGTTTTTCAAGAACAGGAGCTCTGCTCTACCTATGCTGGACTTGCAATGGTGCTCAACACCAAGACAAGATCAGAAATTATATTGTAGAGTACAAGTGATGAGCATGAGCCACAAACAGAAATGCTGGTAAGATTTATGTCTAAAAATAATCTTGTCTAGAAACAGACTACAGCAGAAGAGGGAGTGACCATAAGGACTGAGTTGCTGTAGCTCATAGGTACATTGTGGTGGGGGGAAAAAAAAGGTGGTTTTTTCCCCCTGGAGTTAAAAAAAAGGGTAACCCCCGAGTGGGTGCTGTCTCTCTTGGTGTTGACCCAATCAGCACTCCTGCAAAATTAAAACATATCATACCAAACCAGAAAAGAAGGATGATGAGGCAGTTGAAGAGGAGAGTGGCCATGTTCTGAAGCCTCGAGGAGAAAGGGGCAGGAGCCCTGCTTGGGGGCCACGGCCCTCCAGCCCCCAGCTGGGGTCACAGAAACTCGGAAACAGTGTTAAACTGGACCAAGGTCTGTAACTGAGAAGCTGGGAGTCTTTCTCCACTGTGAGTGGGCAGCAGGAACGGCGGCAGAGACAGCAGTGAACAGAGGCTGTGGTAGAAAACCAAGAGATAAGAAGAAGCAGCAAAGCCATCATGCAGCCAAGCAAGAAGACACAGAGATGTCTAATGGAGAGAGAGTGAGAGAGAACTAAACTCTACAGACAGAGTTTTGGGGTAAGAACTGAACCAAAAATCCTCAAAACCCCTTTGAGACACCTCCTAGAGAGGAGGGGTGGACTCCCACTTGAGGGGAGTCTTGAAATGCAGCAGTACCGGAGAGAGGAGCTGAGAAGCTCAAGATGTCCTGGAAGCTGGACCGGGACAGGCAAACGGAATGCGGGGGAAGTGGCCTGACCCCCCGCTGCTGCTGCCGAGTTGGCAGCCTGAGACAGAGCACAGGAGCTCTGGTAGAGCGCTTGAGGCAAAGGCTTTCAACTGAAAGCTGCCCTAACGTTCTGACTCAGAGGCAAACCCTCTGAGGAAAGGGATCATCACGAAGACTCCTGCACTTCATGATATGACGTGGTGAAGCGAGCCTGTACCTGCAACCGCAGTCCACGGAAGAGAAAGAGACCTTCGATTGGAAGTCGAAGAGCCGAGAGGGGTGAGAGAAGACCCCTTGCGTGTAATGGAAAGAGATCCAGCTACAGCTGCTGCATGGAAGAAGAGAGACACTGCTGCCCTGAAGGTGGAAAGGATCTCTCCTTCTTCCCTCATGGACTTTTATTGGAGTGAGAAGAAATTTTATCCAATGTAAATACTGCTTTACCATAAGAGAAATAGTTAAGATTGCATATATAATGTATTATAATATTTATTTGGGTAGTGATTGTAATATAATTCCCTTCCCCCCATATTGAGTCTTGTGTTGTGTCTGGAAAACCCCTCTGACACTGGGGTGAGTTGTGGGAGGGGGGGCTTGGACTCGAGAATTAAATTTTGGGGATCTCAAACCACCACATACATAAAGAGTGGAGATGAGCAGAGTCATTCAAAATGCACTGGGAAGATGCGATCAGAAAGGAATACATGGCAGAACCAAATACGCGGCTATGGAAATAAAAACCCAGCAAATCTGAGACAAGTGTTTCAAAGACAAGTATTAATCTAAGGCTTACCTAAAAAGCAATGAGGGATTTTGGAAACCACATTTTCATTAAAGCAGATGGGGGATGCCAATAGTGTGAAAACATGGGAACATATTTGGAGTTACTTGCATCACGATTGTAGCAACCATCTACCCTAACGACTTATATGTTTGACTAGAATTTTGCCAATATTTAACTTCGAAACACGCCACGTACATCTAACAGGTAAGTCATCACAAGTCACTTTCTTATGATACAGCTGTATGTTCATTCACCACCATAAAAGCATTTCACAAACGTGCATTTTAGCCATACCTAGAACCACATGAACAACTTCAGAGATGTGGTGAATTATTGTCTCCAGATTTCCTGCAGCACAGATTGCTTTAAACTTTAAACATACAGAACAGATAAATGAAACATAATACTAGTACTGTTTTTCTGAAATCTTATTTAGAAGTAAATCAATTTGGAGACTTGATTAATTCAAATCTAAAGTTAGAAGGAAGAAATCAGTACATTGTCCTAGTAATTGAAAGATCCCAGTGTACCTGACAACATTTTATTAAAAAATAACAACCTGAACATAAAAAGGATCTGCAACTACTCGAATTTATTACTAAATGAACACAGCATCATATTTTAACAGTCTTTTAGCTTAATGTTGCTCTAAAATTTAAGTTCCATCATATCCAACTTGTGGTAAAATGCTAATAAAAACCTGTGTCTCGGGTGAGTTACGGTACATTTCTTTCTTGGTAACAGCACACAAAGCAGTTTAGGCAGAAAGACATTGAGAAGGACATCATTGTGAATTGTCAACATCTGCGAAACTTAACCGTCCTGTTCAGTGGGTTTCATGTAAACATATTAGAGGATGATTATTATTGTTATCATTATTATCAAGAGAATTGTACAAGCATCTCTGCTTATTACCTTTCTTAGCTAATGGCACAGCCTGAAGTTTTAAAATGCTGCATTTGGATAGCCCAAATAGCGTGGAACAGCTTGTAGGATTCCCGGGCGGCTACACACTACATGTAGAATTGCTAGTAATTTCTTCAGTTGTCTGATGAATAAGTTCTCTCATGAGGAACACTGAGAATTTCCCTCACAAGTCAATGTCTCTTATAGCAGGAGAGGGATGGAGGTCATAAGGGAAAGTCTCTGATGCCTGAGAAAAAGTTAAGTTGGCAACAGAATTGATATAGGAGCTTGAAGCATTGGAAATGCAAAGTGTCAGCAGTCATGCTGAGTTAGACTTTGCATGGAAAGTCAAAATAGACAGTAAAGATTGTCTAGGCAGAAAAGGAGCACAACAGAGTGCACAAGAATAAGATAGTAGAAGTAGGATATCTTAAAACATAAAGACAAAAATAAAAATCTAAAATATTTTACATCAGGTTTTAATAACAGTTATGATACTGATCATGGAAAGAACAAACACATAATGGAAATGCTTCACGTTTCAGAAAGTGGAAATTAACACAAGTCAGATACAAGCAAAATTCAGAGGTGATATCAGATGATTAGCAAATACATCCCATACATTCATAAATGAGAAATGGAAAGGAGACAAGGCATTTGCAGACTTGTTAATCCAAAGTATGCAAAAAAAACATTTTGAAATGCTAAACATAAAGAAAAATGTGTTTAAAAAAAACTATCCTGATTTTCTTATCCAGTAAGTGGTTTTGAACACAGATCTTCTGCTTGTTTTGAAATTTTAACCTTATAATAACTCTAAGTACTTCGTCAGATGGAAAAGATGGGAATAAGTTTGAGGTGAGCAAGAAACTACCTAAAAAGGCAGTCAACAAAGGGATACATTTCAAGGCCAAGTAGTTCTATA